ACTCCACCATCCTCCTGGATGTGGCGTGAGGACACTGAGGCTGCCCACCCGGAGTTACTCTACAATGGCAAGAAACCGATCCCCACCCAGGTGTGGTGGGATGACCAATATCGCCCACTCCTCGACCCACAGCAAGTCTTGCGCAACCAGGGGGCCGGCGCTATGCATCCCTTCACAAGGGAGTTTTACCACCCAGCTGACCGAGTCGCTCAGGCCACACCGGCCGCTGCAGCCAGGTTCCATGAGGATCATCGCCGGTTCCCGCCCGCCGCTTATGAGGAGAACTCACTGGTGTGGTCGGGCAACCAGTGGAGGCAGCTATCCCCAGACGAGAGGTCCCAGCTGTTGGGTGTGCCTGTGGCGGCCACCCACGCAGTCCGAGGGTCGCAAGATCAAAGAACCAAGACCAGGAACTCCCTGCTGGGCAATGGTTTCCACCTTCCCAGTGTCATGGCCTTGCTGTGCTGCCTTCCCTCTATCATGGCTGCTAAGTTGATCCCACAACCCCTGGACTTTGAAGAGACCTCCTTGGCCGAACGGCTTAGTCATACTGTATGGTCGCCTGGGCGCCTAGCAAATATGCCGGGACTGCTCACCTATGCTGACGTTTGCAAGGAGCTCCGCGCTACCTTCCCGTTCTTGGAGGAGACCAACCCGGTTTGGGGTACCACTGCACAGCGCTTGATGGCCTGTGAGCTGTCCGCGCTTCAGGCATACCCTATGTGGCGCCGCCTTCGACAAGAGCCCTGGACTCTGTTGGGGCCGACCCCGGTGTGGGGCCGCGAGCGAACCGCCATCTATGCTGGGCTAACGGGGCAAAGATATGCAAGCAACTCTACAAAGGGCCTTGATCACCTCCTGCCCCCGGGGTTGGGCAAGGAGGCACACATCAGAGCTTCCTCAGTGCTTCCTTCACCTTTTGCTCCCAGCCCATGGCCGGAGCCCGATGTGGCCTTTGTCACCCAAGCAGTGGCAACATGGCAACAAGCTCTCCCGCGGTGGGCCGAGAAACTCCGGCGCATCTTGCTGACAGTGGCACGAGCTGTGCAACCACTGGAAGTGGCGCTGTCCCCTTTTCGATGCCAGAGCGCTCGGAAGGTGGCAGCTATGAAGCGACCAGCGTTTATGGCAGCTATGGTGGCCCTTCTTCGATGGCCAGACAAACAGCTCGCCCGTGCATTGGTGGTGGGTTTCAACATCGTGGGAGAACTTGCTCATTCAGGTATTTTCCGCCCTATTGTCCAGGAGGGGAAATTGCCCTTGGAACAGTGGCTGGGCGCGGCAGCTGAGGCGGATCTAGCTCGCCTCCTCCGTTCTCGCCCTCCAGAGCATGTCCAGAGCATGTCCAAGACATCCTCGACTTGACACAGGAAGAGATTGAAAAAGAGTTTTGCTCCCCGCTTCGGACGGCTCGTGAGATGGATGACCTTTTCGGTGTGGGCGGTTGGAGGTTCGTTGAACGGTTTTTAATCATCCAACCTGATGGCAAGAAACGAGCCATCGACAACGCTCGGAAAAGTGGCCACAATGTTCATACCACAATGCATGAAACCATCTCCACAGTCAATGTCGACTTTTGTGCTTCGGTTGCCCGTATGTTGCACACCGCCCTGCAATTCCCATTGGGTTCCCCCCCGGAATGGCTCGACATCCGTCTGGGTACGGATGACCTGCCTGATGCGTACCGGGGGCTTCCTGTGACTGACGCTCACCTGCCTTTCTCCAACGTGGCAATCTTTGTTCCTGGGGTAGGGTGGCGCTTCACATGTATGTGGGGCTTGGCCTACGGCCTCGAAAGTGCGGCGGTGAACTTCAACCGGTTTCCCCAGCTCGGAATAGCTGTAACACGCCGATGCCTGTTGGGGTGTGCGGCGGCGTACTTTGATGATGAGATGGCAGTGGAATGCATTCGAGATTCTGATGTTTCCCAACGCAACCTGCAACTCGTTTTCCGCTTGTTCGGCGCACCCCCGCAGAGCGCAAAGAGTTTTGCCCCTGCACCCAACCGCCACTACTTAGGGACATCTGTCCACGTGGGAGACTTTGGTATGTTGGGGGTCATTCGGTTTCAACCCAAGACCTCCACCACCATGAAAGTGCAAGCCAAGCTCCACGAGGCAGTGTCCACAGCCCAGCTTCGCCCGGATGATGCGGGGAAATTGCGTGGCGATCTCAACTGGTTGTTCAGCATGTGCGCCGGACACGCAGGGCGGTTTGCGGGTCCGGTGTTGGCCGCAAAGCAACACGCCAATGGTCCAGATCTGGATGCTGCTGAGGTAACCACCTTACAGCTCCTGAGCGTCATGCTCCAGCAGGCCAGGCCCAGGGATGTTGACGTGAGCTCGGCCACCAGCTCCCCCCTGGTCGTTTACTCCGATGCATCATTTGAGCGGGGTACCTTGCGGGTTGGCTGGGTCATCATGACATCCCCGCCTCTTGGAGTGACATGCTTAATTCCTCCAGAGGTCACCTCGTCATGGATTGAGCGCCACCAGCAAATATACCCGGGAGAGACACTTTGTGGACTCTTGGTGCCTTGGATCCACAGTGATCTCCTACAGGGACGCGACCTCCTTTGGTTCGTAGACAACGAAGCCGCAGTTTCTTCGTTGATCAAAGGGTCTAGTGGACAATGTGATGTCCATACCATCGTGCAGTTGGCTCACCTTGTTTTCCAACGACACCATATTAGGCCGTGGATCGAATGGATCGACTCGGCTAGCAACCCGTCTGACGGGTTATCTCGGTTGGGCCTTGAGGATCTGTGGACCCAAGCCCAACCCTGGTGTGTGAAAGAAATTCCTTTCCCCACCGACCTTTTGTTTGTTGCACGGCCCTCGGACCTTCAACCTTTTCTCTCCTTATTGAACAGTGGGTGATTTTAGTATACAGTGGGTGATCAGGTATGTTCATCAAAGATGACATAACCAGCTAGTCTGTGTGTTGTTAAACCACGACTGATTTCCCAGTGTTTTCAACACTGCTGTTCAATGTTAGGAGCGTGTGTGGTCTTGGCCCCTCCGCCCTTTGCGAAGACTTTCGATTCTCCACGGGAAAAGAAGAGTCGAGCTTTACCGTGTGGAACCGTCCTGTATGTTTCTTATCAATCAATATGAATGGTTGGTTGGGTAGGGACATATTGAGATGTGAAACATATAGTGAGGGATCCTCAATCTTACACGCCATTTTGGCTCAAGATTGGGGATTCCATCGAATTTTCTTCCCCACCCACTACCACCCTTGACACCCTCTGCGGGTACTATAGGGTAGGGTTCGGGTTTTCCTGTATCTACCCCCCTTGAGGGTGATCAGGTATGTTCATCAAAGATGACATAACCAGCTAGTCTGTGTGTTGTTAAACCACGACTGATTTCCCAGTGTTTTCAACACTGCTGTTCAATGTTAGGAGCGTGTGTGGTCTTGGCCCCTCCGCCCTTTGCGAAGACTTTCGATTCTCCACGGGAAAAGAAGAGTCGAGCTTTACCGTGTGGAACCGTCCTGTATGTTTCATGTCATGAAGAGGCGGCATGAAACAACAGACATTCTGCACAGTCGAAAGATCCAGATATGACCCTGAGTTTTGGGGGTTTGGCATTGGTGTTGAACTGCTTTCTGGCGCGCATCTCTCACGCGTGTTGTCGCGGAAGTTCTCCATCAGCTGAATGCCTATCCCAGGTGCTCCATGTATATATGGTATGTATATATATGCCTACATTGACCCCTGAAACCACCCCAATCTATGTAGATACTCTGTTCATGGAGTGTCTGAGTACACCAACATTGACCAACTACCTGATTCCGGTTTTGCCTTGCAATCGTCTCACCCTGAGTCATACGATGTCATTTTCTATCAAGCACACCCAGGGTTTAACATGACAACGAACAGAAAGACGTCAACAGTCAACCATTAAATATCTAGATGGAACTATGGTCCCACGAGACAGTTGTGCAGTATACCTAGGATCGTTGTTGACAGATACGGTGAGTAACACAGCAGAAATGAACAACAGAATTGCCATCACCATGAAAACTTTCAGACAACTCAAGATCTTCTGGGACAAGGCGAATACCACTACAAATTGGAAACTGCGTGTGTTCAAAGCAATCATACAATCAAAACTTATGTACAGCCTGGAAGTGATCCAACTCACTGAAAATGAGCTAAACAAACTAGATGCTTTTCAGATGAAGGGACTGAGACGAATTCTCAAAATATAATACGCTTTCATAGATAGAGCGCAAACCAACCAAGTCGTACTGCAAAAAGCAAACACGCATGGAGTCTATGTTCAAAAACTCTAGACTTTTGGAGGCAGAGGAAGATAAGCCCATGAGGCCACATTCTCTGAGCAGATGCAAACGATCCTCTCCGACAGGTCATTTTTGAAAACCAATCTTGCATCCCACGAAAACCACCATATCGAAGGCAAGGGAGGCCGAGAGTGGACTGGCTAACTGAAACAGTGAAAGACACGTTCCATTGTCTCGGGCACAGCCCGCCCCAAGAGCCAAGCCTCCAAGACATACGAATGCTCCAAAATGCCGCCAGGAACCGAGCATATCCATTTTGAGGAAAACAAGAATCAATCATTCTCTGAAAAGAAGGGTGCTGCCCCATCAGCCTACGGGCTTACACAGTAATTACATTGCAAAGGACAAATGCCTTTCCCTGAGCTTCGTGTCACCTCATACTAGGTCCACTTTTTTTAAAGCCCGAACAAGTGAACGCTTGTTGTGCGCTCCGGCAAACTCCTTGCTTGGCACTAGAGAAAAAACACACCCAGGACTTACCCAACCCGAAGCGAGCTGGCATGATATTGGAGTTCACATAGAACGGCCATTTCTGTTTGTTTCTTTTTGTGGGTTTAGACCTACCCAGTGAGTGGATAACCTTTAACCCTTGATCTTTTTAGGCACAAACAGGTCGACCTTGATCCTCCATGGAAGATGATGGGTGCGGAAAGTCATGGGCGCAGAAAGTGCCTGCCTGGTCCACTAAGGCTCTTACTACGTCTTCTCCGCGCGCTATGTGCCGAAGGCCAGCCCAATGTTCCGCGCACAGGTCAGTGGTGATATTGCAGTGATGGTGCTGCAAAACCTGGCCGTCTTGCAGGTGGTTTGGGGCTCTGGCAGTGAATTGGAGTCTTGGTTCGGGATTTGTTTTTGTGGGAGGAAGCGCGAGTCTAGAGTTCCGCAGCTTAGTGCTTAGTCCTCCAAATGTCGGTTGATCACGAATCACGAGCTTCATTGTATTTCATTGAAGTTGTGAGGGGGAGGGCTTATATAGTGGCCTAGAGGTTGCAGGTGGGTTTGGTTGGGCAGAAACTATTGTATATCCCTCTGACAGGTGCTAGCTTGACAGAACCAAGGTTCCGAATCTCAAGGAATGTTCTCAAGGAAGGTGCAGGTTTTGGTTCCTCCACGTTCGCGCTTTTAGGGCAACCCCGACATGTTTGAGCCACTTATCCAAAGACCGTCTTCTACGCATTCCCTTCCACCCACCGGTGCAACATCGAGGAATTCTTCGCCTTCACCTCGTTCTTGGTCTTGGACCTGGATGGTGCAGGCATTGCCTGCGTTTGGCCCAATGCCGCAGGACAATTTGCAGGTGTGGTGTCTCTGTGGCCCATCATCCTGCTTCTTGGATCCTGTTTTAGGGAGGTGTGGGGCTGAAAGTCATCCCAAACCTGGCTCATGGCCATCGAACACTCGGATTCATTCAGATGCTCGAGAACATGTGGCTTTCGACAGCTTGTGAGTTGGTGAGACTTGAGTCTGCAGTCCAGCCTGAGGTTCTTGATTCTGAGCATCTATCTTTGCAGCAGATGCTTGGATCAGCTTAGATCAACAAATCCTTTGCACGGGCAAGTTCTTCCCCTGAAAGAGTGCCTGCTTGCGATCGGGGACCTGCCTGCTTGCTCGTCGTGGACCTTCGTATCATCAACTCTAGTCAAATGAGGTCAACATGACCTGTAGCCTGCAGCCATCCAAATATAATCCCGTCATGCATGGAAGTGTACCTAAATCGTAGCCAGTAGCCTGTAGCCAGGCCCATTTGCAGAAACAGAGGATGCCGAATTGGAGGTACAAACGGACGTGTTCGCATGAAAACACAACATGTTTCCTCTTCATTTGTTATAGGCACTCCTTGTCTCGCACAGACGGGTTCTCGCTGTCTGCTACAACCGGCCTGCTCACGAGAACAATCTCTCTCATTCCCTGCAGACAACCTTCCATCTGATCGGACTGATTCATTTCTGCAATGGAACAGACTCTTGAAGAAGAGGAACCTTTACCCGCGGGGCCTCTATGGATTATATCATATTATATCATAGAAATTTCTCTTGGTGCTCTGATGAGGCTCTGTGACCCTACCTGGACCTTGAATGTGTTTCTTTTTAAATGGGTAAAATAAGCGTCGGTTCTTTCCGATTGGTTTCCCACACCATCCCTGTTTATTCGACACATTCAACACGTTTTTCTTGTTTTTATTCTTCATGAATCCCTTGTTTAAGACCGTTGGGGTTTCCCAGGCCACCAAGGACCTCCTTGATGCCACCGAGGACTTCCTGTCTGCCGGCGCCGGAACGGCACGTGGACGAATACGCGCACCATTGGATTGGCTGGGAAATTCATGCAGGTGGGAGAGTGGTTTCATTCGACGATTAGATCAAGTGATCCCATTGAGTGAGGGCCCCTTTTTTGTGGCCGCGGCCCTGTTGCGTCGCCGAAAAGCCACAGAACATGCGAGAAGGGTACCCGAGCATGGAAGGGAATGTATTTTGACAAACTGACATCGCAGATGTTCCAATGTGCACATGGGATTCAGTGTACTCTTAGACCATCTTAGACCCAAAACAGCCTCTTCGGTGAATTCATGTGATTTCTGGATGATTTTCCTTAAACCCCGCTAGTACAATATGTATAATATACAAAGCAAGTAAATACATACATGATGTATACATATAACATAATATATATATATATATGCGCACATTGTGGTAAGCCCTAAGCCCTGATCCCAGGGGATCTTGAGAAAAGGTATATACTCAAGTCAATCTCCCTCGTGTGTTTGATCTCTCCTTCAGCGCGAGCTCTTCAGGTGGGCTTCACGTCAATGACCAACCTGGGTCTCATGCCTTTCGTGTGCTCCTGGGCGACTTCATAGGGTCGTATATATATATATATATACATAAATTGGGTCTTTATGATTTTATGAGGGAGATGAAACTGGATTTCATGGCAACATGTTTACCCACGACATCCTACAATATCTCGATATTATATTGAACACACAGAAACCATTGACTCCTCTTCTTCAAGGCCATTAGAGCCCCACTCTGTTGCTCGTGACGTGTCTCCCGAGGCTTCCGGCATCCCAATGGAGCCTACAGCATGCTGAAGTACTCCAACATCCTTTGTGGCTCAGGAGAGCATGTCGTCATGCAAGTTTTTGGGGGTTGCCTCTTGGCTTAGATGAGAATTCACAAAAAAAGTTGAATCGGACGATTCGTTGTGAGAGAATTGCTACAATCTGTAATATCTGCTGAAGTGGGAACCCAATAATATGTTTCTGTACTGTATATACTTGGAGCTTCATTAGGCAATCATTTCCGTCTAACTTTATTCAGGCTGAACATTCCGCCCGTTTGTACTAAGAACGCCTAAGCTGCAGCCTCAAGGGTTAAAAACGCCGAGAGACAATTACATGTGTTCTTACATGCAGGAGGCAGAACCAGAAATTGAATTAAACAACTTGGCACCTGATGCTGGTCCCCGATGTAAAGTATTTGAAGCTCATAGACTCATATCACTCACTCCAAAAAAAGACACCATTCCTTTGTTCACCCAACTACTGATTGTAGGAGGGGGAACGGGCAAGCAAGAACGCCAAAGCACGGGTAAGAACGCCTGCTCAAACATATTTTGAAGCAATGAGACACAACATAGAAACACAAAACAACATGCAAGTGAAGCATCAAGTGAATTCCTGATACACAAATGATTTTCATCACTGTGGAAATTCCTGGAACCAGTGGTGGCTAGATCCTTCTCGCCACCCAAAGGACCAGAACGCCAAGAGGGTACACAGAACCTTTTTCTGGGGGCAAGAACACCAGAACGCACGAACCAGAAGCGCCTTTTCCAGGCAGACAATTCCCTGCCCAAGAAGAGGCTCTATAGGATTCTTTTTTCCTAGAACCAACTCTTATGACCCTTTGTCGTTTGCCTTTATTTTGTGCTTATGACCATTTCTGACATACTTCCAGACACACGAACTCCCTTCCAACTTGCAGACAAACGCGCACAAATGATGTGCTTTCACCTCCCTTTACGCTTCTGAACGCTTTCACATGCTTTCACGAGGTTTGCTTGCATTGGGGCTGATCTTCTTGTCGATTTGCACCGTTTGGACCATCATGGCGCCCCAATGGTCTTCGACGTCTTCAGGAGGGAAGCTGGGACAGGTCCCTTGGCACCTTAGAGGTGGACGACCTGAAGGGAAGCCACGCGTCGCGTTGTTGTTCGTTTCCACGTGTAGCTCCCACGGTTTCTTCGCATGCTCCATGCTCCGACCTGGGCGCCGTGCAGGTGAACTTTTTGATCCGGCGCTTCCAACCCAGCACCTGGTGGTTTGGCTTCTCGGCGTGAAATCGACGCGGCGCCGTCCGAGGTTCCTCGGCGCAGGTCGGAACCGATGTCGCACCCGACATCGGTGTTTCAACCACCTGCCGAGAATTCTTGGTCGACACATTCGGTAGGGTAGAGGATCGGCGGTGCCGGGTCGGAGACAATAGGGAACCCTTCAAACACCAAGAAAGAACAAAGCCTAAACTCCACCAGGACCCTCTGACCATCGGGGTGTCCTGGCTGAACTACCCCACACTACCTACAGGCTGACAAACAGGGCACCCCGACAGGAGGGTCCTGGTAATGTCCCATCATATTCCCTAGAGATCCAAGCACCTTCTCAGAAGAGACTTGGACCCTCCAAACCCCTAGGGATTGTTTGAATCAATCACCATGACTGGCACCGAACACCGCGCTGTTCCGACCGTCACCGCGCTGGCACCTCACCGGAACAGCCGGTGGGGACCTTGGGACCGGGCTTGAATGGGAAAACGACCGCAAGACTGTTGGACTCAGGAGTTTAGACTCCAAAAACCGGTTCAAGCAGTTGGAATGGTCGAACTGAGCGGTTGGGGCGACGAGACATCGTGGAGTTTCCGAGGCTTGTTCCTTTTGGCCAGAGGACCTTTGCTGTGCCTGGATTGTGCTGGGGTGCTGCGTGGGTTGGCTTGGCTTGCACGGCCAGACTTTTGCATCCGGACATTTCCTCTAGGAAGTTCCAGACTCCTTCACTGAAATTCCCAGATTCGCGGGCCAATCATGGTGAGTTCCCGCATCTCTTTTGGGCAATGCAGCAATTCGCGCCAGTCATGAGAAACCCTTCAGAAACCCTCGAAGCAAACAAGACTGCTGTGAGACCTTTGGGCTTCGCTTTTTTCCAACACCGTACACCTGTACCGCACCAACAAGCTCCTGAATCGAACCCCAAACCCCCGCGGGTGCGCCAGAAACCGCCCGATGTGTCCACGGACTTGGCATGTCTTGCGATGCCTCACTCGGCATTTCTTATTGAATGTATGCCTGGTCCGATGGTCTATGCTTACTTCGCATCGACAAAACGGCCGCCCTCGGAACGGCCGCCTGCGAACGTGAACGGCCGCGGTGTGACGGCCGCGTGGCCAGGTCAATGCCCACGATCATTGCACCGGATTCGTCCAGTTTGCAGCTCTCTATGATGCTGATGGTGCTCGTGGTCTCCCTTTGCTCCTTGGAGTTTGGATATGTTGGGGTGTTGATCTTTCAAAGAGGTAGGAACCAGGAGCAGGATCACTGTTAAGATTAGATAAATCTTTAATATCACATAAGCAGGCCCTGCAAGAAAACTGACATCAGAGTAAATGTTTGATGGGGTCCATTTCAGAAGCAATGATGGTATACTTACTTAGTTGTTACATCCATAGTCCTTATCGTTTTGTAGCAAACTATTGTTGGAAGATGATAATAAGCCCCAAATCAATGAATTATGCAGAGATGTCGCCGAAGCCCGAACACGGTTCAACATGAGCACTTCTACAGAACGACTTTAATATATAAATGAATGTACAGTATAATATAGTGAGAATGGAATTTCATGTGATTCGTAGATACTTGTAGCATATAAATATATATATGATATGTGTCGTAGTGATTCCATAGTAAGAGCATATGTTCCATATATGCCATAGGCATTGATTCCACGTATGTAAGTGTAATGCACACATATGTAATGTTTATACACTTATATTGATATATTGGAATTCCCAACTCCCAACCCCTCCACCTTAATGTCAAGGGGATTGAGCAGGTAGCTAATATACATGCTGAAAGTTCTTCTTTTTGTAGTCACTGCTGGTGCTGATGGTCACCACAGGTTGCAAGACTCACACGAAGACACTGAAACATGCGAGCACAGCTTCATCTCAAATTGAATGATCCGGTTTTAGCTGATTTTTCACTGGGCTTGGGCAATTAAACAATATGCAGCTTTCGCCGATCTGTCACTGTGGTTGGGACCATGGCATAGCTGCAAGCCAGCCGTTCGTTCGTCGCTTCGTCGGCAGCCGGTGCCGTTCCTTCGTCCCTTTCGTCGAACACGAGGTGTGCAGGCGACGGTGCAGCCTTGGCAGACGCCATGGTTGAATTTGGCAGATACGACGGCGGTTGCGGCCCTTCGGCTTCCAAATATCGACGAACGCGGCGAAAGAACCCACCCGGGTGGTCCGTCTTGTTTCAGCATTGAAGACACCGTTTCGGGAAGGTCAAGGTCGTTGAAGTGCAATTTGTGTTCTCTTTTTCAGGCAATCAGCTGTTTGGGGTTGTAGCCAGTATTGGATGATGTCCATCACGCGACTTGAGGCCCTAGTGTGTGTTCTGGCAGTTTCCTTGAGCTGTGCAGAGGGCGAATGTGCACCAGCGGTTCAAACTTTGTGGGTGGTTCTGGCCGTTTCCTTGCTGCTGATCCTGGCTTTCTTTTTGCTCACTGCATGGATTGGAGCTTTCTACAGTCTCTTGGCCATCGTTCTTTTTTTAAAGCTGGTCAGACCTCAGATGATGGGAAACTGAATCTGTCTCTCTCGAAGCAACACCTCTCGGACCATCCATGTGTGGAGTCGAGTGACCTACAGGGCCGGGCCAGCCATGGGGTAAATGAATGTATAGACTCCCTGGCATAGATATAGAAGTTCGTGTTGATCCCCAGGTAGAACACAGGACACCGTGCCACGGTCATCTAGTTGGGGATCACTTCAACTCTTCGTTCGTCCGTTCGTTTGGGCTTTGAACACCGATGACCGATCGAAGAGGCCGGGCTGCGGGGTCGACGACCCGAAGTCTCGCTGCGTCTGATGGTGGCCCACATGTGGGTCGCTGTGTCTTCGGGTCTTCGGTTCGCCCCCAGAATCCATGCGATGGTTTTGGACAACACCTCTGTGACCCTCAAAACACAGAAATCATCCCAATGTTGATGTACAACTATGGAAATACATTGATTGTTAGGGAAGGGCTCAGGTACCGAACATTGGATGACCAGATTCGCGGCGAGTTGGTTCGACCCATTCGGAAGTAACCCTCCAATCGACAGGAGATACTCGGACCCTATGGGTTTGTATATACTGCCTAGTAGTAGGATCTTGTATGCCGCTAAGTACCCAAAGCTCAGGTTGGAAGCGCCAGTGTCAGAGTGTGCGCAAGTGGGGTGCGGAGTGTACGTTTCTTGAATTGGCAGGGGATCGGCGCCCCAAGGCATTGTCTAGGACACCGCACCCATCTCGCACTCACTGGGCCTTCGGGGTGACCTGGCAAGTCGAGTTCCGAGGCAAGGTCACGGGAAAGGATCTGCCATTGTTGAACCTCTACAAGACGGTGCAACCTGAGACGATTGTGCAAGGTCTTGGAAATCTCGCCGCCAAGCTGAGCAGCCAGGAGCCGGCATCCATCCATGCGTCCCCACCTATAATTAGGCTGCCGAAAATTCCTGTGTACGGGAAAATTCCCTAGACCCTCATTTGACTCATACAAAATGATACTCAATGAGATCTGACTGAGACCAGCAGACTGGACCTGGGCCAGCACCTCTAGGGTTTCATGCCACGGCGTTCCGTCGCCCTGGTGGGAACGCGCGTGGAGTTGAAGATGGTGTCGACGCACGTGTCGACCTCCGCGTCGATGTTGCCATGGCGGGTGGGGGGTGCGACGGCCAGGAGCTGTTTCTGTAGCTGTACTAGCTGTTACAATGCGGCGCGGGGGGGGGGCCACGGCGCTCGGGTCGTGCTGGTGGCTTGCCACCACGCGAGCGACCACAGGAGTTCTCCACCCCCGGTAGGGCCCGGTATGAAAAGGCCATGTTGGCCATGTTTGCACTCCAGCGATGTCCTGATGGGCTCCGCTAAGTAACGAATTTGAAGAGAGGTTCATGTAGACAGAACGATGCCTTCACGAAAGCTAGACATGCAGTCGCCAAAGATTCGTGCTCGTTTGTTGCGCACTTTTCATGCGCGATTTCGCCTGAGAAAGCTAGCAAGACGATTGCGAAATCAGTTCCGTTTGCGAAAGCTTGCAACAGTTTTTTTGCACAGAATGCAGCGCGCTTTCAAGCAAAAACGCAGGAACCCGCGCAAGGAACTTGCGAAAGAAAACCAATTCTCGAAAACGAATCTCTTCACCGGCCATGTCGCCGGTCGCCTGTGGGCTGGTCTGAGTCAGTCTGGTTTGGGAGTAGAAAGATCAGTGGGGATGCATCCCTCTAACGGCTTAGTTGCTGGGGTGCGGGTTGTGTTTTTTTGAGATCCCTACCTGGGGATTGTTTGGCAAAAAAACCATCGGCACCAAAAGCTTTGCTTTCTGATGTTGGGTTGGCCGCGGCCCTTTGGATATATAATGCTGCTTTAAGCTATATTAGTTAAAGTTATTGTATGGACTGACCACCACTGGACTGACTGGACTGGCTCAAACTATCAAGCTATAATGACAACCTTGACAACCACACTTCACACCATATTACGCTCATTCACTTAGACATACACTTCATAGCATATGGCCTCTCTACCTGACTTGCGGATCATGGCGGTGAGACTGATGCAGGCACCGCTGCCGAATTTGTCTAGAGAGTTGACTAGAGACTTGAGGGGCTAGGGTTGACTAGAGTCTAGAGAGTGTTGACCAGAGGGCTCTCATGTAACATGAAGGGAAACGCCATGGTCGCTTGGGTTCAGCCGCCTGGCTTCATGTCTGACACGAGAGGGTTGAAGGGTGTCGTTGGGCCTCAACGCCACGCTCTTCAACTCACTCTCAGTTTGACTTCAACCTCGATTGACAGGCACGCTTGGTGGGAGCAGGAGGGCTTTGGAAGTTGGTCTTGGCGTGAAGTGTCACGAAGTGTTCAGGTCATGTTTACCTACGACTTTGGCTCAGGACTGTCAGGGCAATGCAGGCAAACTGACTACTTGGATGAAGCGAATGGTCACGCGCCGGTGTTCTCTGGCAATACCTTGTGGTCGGTGTCATATGGGTGAACACCCACCATCAGAGGACCCTTGACAGATTTAGCTGATTCTAACGATTCTAGCGCGCCGGCTGCAATTTTGTATTTGCGTAGAGAGTTGTTGGCATCGGCCACATGTGGCGCGGCTTCAGAGTCACTCATACTGGCGGGTCTGGTCCATTGAGCACTCCGAACTGAGAACAACAAAGACCCTCCAGCCGTCCCAGCTGTCCCAGCAGTGCGCAGCTAGCTCACTCAGGCGGCTGTTAGTGTGAATGAAATATTTCGTGATCAGATTAAGGTCAAAGCCGTTTGAAGGAATCGAAGGAGACTTGGGTCCCAACACAGATTTTCTCTGCCAGGAACAAATCTTGGCGGGCCAGCTTTTCCGAGAGGTCTTCAAGGCTAGGATAGTTATTGGCTTCTGGGTTGTTCTTGAAGATGACCATGACCAAGGGCTAGGTTCAGTATTGGCATTCTTTGCGCTTGACTCACTGATGTCTCAAAAGCTGACCCGTTTGCAGTACACCCCAAGTTCTCAACAACCAAGCCCGTATCGATCAGGAAATTTCACGGCTGCAAATTTCACTTGCAAATTGGTCCATAAGACCCTTGTGGTGGGAAATGGTCTTGTTTGATAACTCTAGACTCTAGAACGCAAACAATGAGGCCTCTTCTGTTTGGCTTGTCGTGGATCCGAGAAAAAGAACAAAGAACTGTGCGCGAACTCTTTGCAACTTTTTTGCTTTCTGGAGAGAGAAGACGAGGAACATATTCTACCATTATATGGAACAACAGTGGAGTGGCTTTGCCCATCGCTGAGGTCCGACTTGCCAGCCGCCAGCAACGCGCAGTGGACAACCTGCAGAAAAAGACGTTGCGTGTAAAATTCTGGAGGGTACTTAATATCTTTCGCAACCGCTTCAGTTCCATCCCATTATATACATTTTTATTTTTTGCTTGTTTAATGCACACGGTGTGCATCATTACTGACCTGGATATGGTAACTACTCCATACATTGGAGTCTTTTGGGTTGTTGACAGCCCTAACTCAAGCACGTCTGACGCGACTTGTCCTTCGCGACCCACACAAGCCCTGCCCTGCGAGATGTAAACCGTTTTCTTGGGGGTACTAGACGCTCTTCCGCGATTTTGTTAATCACACGACTCATCCTCTTGATGAGAGTGGTGGACCGTCATCCGATCCCCTCAGAGGACGGAGCGCCCGCAGGACCATGAGCGGCTGCAGAAGGCCGTGGAGTCGCTGTGCTTCTACGACCTCCAATGTGCCCAACTGTCCATCCAAGCGATCCTCGGCCAACTTCGGAATGCCAAACTGGCCCCCCAAAACACGGGGATCCACACAAAAACCGGAACTGTAATGACGTGAGTGAGTGGGTGATGAGGGTCAGAGGGTCGTCTCATGTTTGGGAAAGGAACGCGCGTGGCTAAGCCTAAAAAATTAACGTTTGCATTTTGTTGACGCCTTTTGGTGCGCAGAACATCCGCGCTGTCTGGCAGACATTTGCACATGCATTCCAGTTTGAACAGCGTGTTCCACAAACCTTGTTTTTTTGAATACATTTTTTTTGGAACAAATGCACTCAAAAATTGATGATCTACATTGTACATGGATACACCGAAAACCTGTAAATGAACCTGTCTATTGCGCACCTTCCCTCCGAGCAGCAGCAGTCGATGCCCAGCCACTGACATGAATAAGTTTCAGTTGTACCTGCAGGATCCAAACAGTGTAAACAATGGAATGAACTTGCTGTTTGAGTGGAATCACAGGTGTTTTTTGCATTCAATTTTGTGTTTGTCTACTCATTTCTATTTTGTTGTGCGAGTTCTGATTGGTTTGTTTGTGTCGTTCCAGCATTAAGCAAGAGTTCTTGACAGATTTGTGTTATGGTCAAGATTCGCTCCAAGATGAGATCGTCAAAAAACAGGTTTGACAAGTCCCAGAACTGAGCGATGGGACTGGCATATTGATCGATCAGTTGGGGTGGTTTGAGGGGTCAATGCAGGCATATATTCCAGTCCCATGGAGTGTCTGGGAGTGGTTCATGTTTGACGAACACAGCGTAACGTAACAGCCCTGCCATGATATCAAATCGGCAAGAACCGTGATAGTTTCTTCAAGCACAACTCTTCCAGGCGCGCTAATTGCATATAGTTAGATGTTAGTTATACGTTAGTTGAATAAATGTAGGTGTGTGTGTATAAGCGCCCTTAACACGAGTGAACTCTATTTGGACCAGTGATCGCCCAACATATGGCCTTTTCCGAATGACAACGCAGGTCAAATGGCTGGTAGGTGCGCGTGGGCATCATGTCACACCTTATGTACAGGCTAGCCCGATGCTCACACCGATGCTCTCATGTTTTGTCTTGGAACCTGACGAAAAGGGCAAACATCCAACAAACCCTAAACACCTTGGGACAGCGCTTGCCATGCCCTGCTGGGGCACCAATCTAAATGTCACAGAGCTGCCACTAATCAGGCACAGAAACAGCTACACTTTTTGATGCTTTTCGTTGACCACCAATTCGCTGTTCGCTGTTCGCACAAACACATGTTGTCCTATTCCTACAAGGGCGGCATAGGGCGGTGCCTTCATCCGCTCCCTTGCATCGCTTTTTCCACGCTTTCCGGGCAACGCGCGATGAACAAGAAGTGGTCTTTCCTTCATTTGAAGCTGGTCAAGGATCTCATTTTGGAGTTGATCATTGAAAAGCACAACTCAATGACGTTTTCAGGACCAGGTTTGGTCCGGGGTCAGACTGGTGACTGGACCGACCAAGCGGGTGGTGGTGGGTTGAGGCTCCAAGAGTGCTGGGGCATCGCAACGAGCTCCCATCTCTCGCCCCGCATCTCTGCTCCCATGTTTGATGAAGGCAACTTGGAGGTCATGAAGTTGGGGGGGGAAGCCCTCAGATGTTTGTTTTTTGGAATTCAGAATCTCTCCATCATGATGTGCCGCCCAGTTGGCCAAATCCACAGTCTGCCTTGGCGACTAAACCGTCTCTGAAAGTTTGGTGAAGGTCAATGGCGCCCCGGACTTTCGACTCCAAGAGAGGTTGAGAGACCAGAACTAGGACCCCCTTTGGTGGTACATAGATGGGCGACAAGAGGGGCTGTTCAACCTCTCTTGGATCTTGGTCTCCAGCCCGGCTGCTTTCCGTTCAAACTCCGCCTGAGCCATCCATGGGTGCCTGAGCCATGGAGGCCCCTCTGAACCCTCCAAATGAGCGACCGGTCACCTCCAAATCGGTTCGTCCCGACCAATGACCGAGCACCACCCAAGGGATGGCCATTAGATGGGAAATGCATCTTCAGAGGGATTTATAAACCACCCTTTGATTGGTGCTGGTAATTGTTATATACGTGACCGAACCAACCGGAGGATCCACAAGTCACGAACCGAAGAACTAGATTGTAAAAGGATGATTCTTTCCAGAGGTCGCCTTGTGCGAACGAATCTGGTGCTAAGAAACTCATGACTTTTCAAGTATCACACCGAAGCCAGGATTGCCCATAAATAATGACCTCGAGGCTCAGTTCGTACCTCCCGAAAGTGAGTACAGCCTACCTCGCGAAGGTGAGTACAGCCGTACCTGTTTGTTTGGGTCATGCCTCATCTTCAGGTCAAGTGGTCCAAGATTCTACAGACCCCAGCTGTGGTCGATCGGATGTCCACCCTCCGCCACGGCCGTGGCGCCCGGCGACGGAGCTCTGTGTGGCGCGGGGCGTCGCGGCCCACGCGGCCCACAGGCGAGATCACGCTGGGCCAAGCTGCGGAGTTCGATGCGAATGACACGAAGGTGCCAGAGCAAGGCGGGTTCGAAGTGACTTCAGAGTTCAGCGCTTGCTCGCCGCACTTGATGATTGAAAGCACACTGTGCTTTTTTTTCTTTCCGTGGTGTTAATTCATGTTGAATCCATGCTGCTTTCGGAGTTGTTCGTTCATTCAGAAGTCGAGGAATAGGTTGAAATTTTCAAATGAGGATGCTGTCTGTTGATGGCCATGTAGTGGCTCCGAGAACGGGCCTCTGAATCAGGAAAGAACGTCTCGCCGCCTGAATATGATCGAACTTGCGTCATGACATGGTCCAGAGCTACCGCCACCACCCCCAATCATCAGCATGTGAATGTGCATTTGCGGGTCGCTCTCGCAAAAAGCTGTTGGGCCCATGACACAGTGGTCCAGAACGGATGGCGTCAACTGTCCGAGGTTCCAAATACTAAATCGGTCCAGTTACCAGTTTGACGATATGACCTCGAGGCTCAGTTCGTACCTCCCGAAAGTGAGTACAGCCGTACCTGTTTGTTTGGGTCATGCCCCATCTTCAGGTCAAGTGGTCCAAGATTCTACAGACCCCAGCTGTGGTCGATCGGATGTCCACCCTCCGCCACGGCCGTGGCGCCCGGCGACGGAGCTCTGTGTGGCGCGGGGCGTCGCGGCACACGCGGCCCACAGGCGAGATCACACTGGGCCAAGCTGCGGAGTTCGATGCGAATGACACGAAGGCGCCAGAGCAAGGCGGGTTCGAAGTGACTTCAGAGTTCAGCTCTTGCTCGCCGCACTTGATGATTGAAAGCACACTGTGCTTCTTTTCTTTCCGTGGTGTTAATTCATGTTGAATCCATGCTGCTTTCGGAGTTTTTCGTTCATTTGTTCAAATGAGGATGCTGTCTGTTGACTGCCATGTAGTGGCTCCGAGAACGGACCTCTGAATCAGGAAAGAACGTATCGCCGCCTGAATACGATCGAACTTGCGTCATGACATGGTCCAGAGCTACCGCCACCACCCCCAATCATCTTCATGTGAATGTGCGTTTGCGGGTCGCTCTCGCGAAAAGCTATTGGGCCCATGACACAGTGGTCCAGAACGGATGGCGTCAAGTGTCTGAGTTTCCAAATACTAAATATAGGTCCAGTTACCAGTTTGACAGTTTGACGATATGACCTCGAGGCTCAGTTCGTACCTCCCGAAAGTGAGTACAGCCGTATACCTGTTTGTTTGGGTCATGCCCCATCTTCAGGTCAAGTGGGCCAAGATTATAAATAGGTCCAGTTCGACGATATCTCCTCGAGGCTCAGTTTCGTACCTCCCGAAAGTCAGGACCTGTTCTTGCCATGTCTGACCTGTTCTTACCATGGGGTCGTGTCCCCATTCTCCACCAGTTCGAGTTCGGAGCGAGGTTCGCTTAAGGCGCGAGTTCCAGGTCCGGACGATTTACAGTCGTGAGAGCTACTTCGAGTGATCCCCACCATGACATCAAATCTAACAACCCGAAACCTGACAGTTGGGAACAACTGCGATCTTCTTTTTCGGTTTCGGGCTGTCTTATCACGGAGCATGTGATGGAGCTCGGTCACCGAGGGCGTTTGCTTCCAGGCGTTGGCGAGGGCAACATCGAGACAGTGCTCGAGAGCACCGTATCACAGGAGCGCCTTTTGAGCCACAGGTCCAGGACCAGAGCACCCCCCCCCGGGTCCAGGACCAGACCCGGCAAAGCCTGGTCCTTGACATCCTGAAAAAGGGCTTTTTTGTATGACCAACTCCAGTCAAATGAGGCCAAGCTGACTTCATGTAGAGAATGATTGGGTCTATTGGGTCCCTCATTCGGCCTCCAACATCCACTGATGTGATCTCTCCCCTTTGGCACCCACCCAGTACAACAAAAACATACCGAACACGGAGGTAGGACTGGAGGCCAAGCGGGCATCATTTCTTGCTTGTTTGCTGACCACCACTAGCACATGATTTTCGGTCAGGGTCAGTTTGTGGAAAGGAAGCTTAGGGACATCAGTCAAATCAAGCCTGTCACGGTCATCGTGCCCTGTCCCTCAAGCTTGCCCAACCTTCGCGATGAAAAACAAAAAACAACTGCAGGGTGTTGCCGGCACTTCGAATCCCCCCCAGTGTTTCGGTGTTTTGGGGGGTCCTGGCTTCACCGGCTTCGTGGTGACCTGAGCTCGAAACCTCTTCAAGCCCTGAGCTTGGCAGGAGATGCCGACCTTAAGCGAGCAACAACCAAATGAAGCTGGCATCGTGCAGTGCGAGCTCTAGCTTCTTAATCAGATACTCGCAGTGTGTCGTCGCGTCTGAATAGTAGTGCACGAAGATCTCCAGGTGATCTTGGAAAACGTTTGTTGTGCTCAACGCGTGAAACCACACATCCATCATCGCCTCAAAAAGGTCTGGACTTGGATTGATCTTGGATTTGTTGGACACGAACCTGGATTCACATCCCGACCCGCGGTGACCCGGGGCGTAGTGTAAGAGATCCATCTACCTGATTGAAGCCTTTAGAGCTCAAACATGTTCCAAACATCCCCAACGACCTGGGTATGGAGGGTATTTACGGTATGGACGGTATGGATGTGTTTGGCTTCCATCCGCAAAAGTTGCAGTCTCAGAGCATACAATGCAAATACTATCTATATTCAAACATTTTAAATCTTCCAAACGCACAATAATATATTTGCGAATGGAAGTGCAGCGACATGTACAGTGCAACTTGTACATATATATGTACCATATGTACTTTGGCTCAAGGATCAAGCGACTAGAAAAGGTGCGGTTTCCGTTCCGACGCTACGCCGCTTATGGATCGTCAGTGATAGCTTCAAACTTCGCTGATTAAGATCCACTCGCAGGTTATCAGCCGTACGCGCTCTTTATAGCCGTACGAGCTACACGAGACCAAGAACAAGACTAGTCATTACAGAAACCTGCAATGTCAAGCTCAGGAGGAAATGGAAGCGAACCCTATTCATTCGCTGCTCCTGGTGGTCCCAACACCATTTCGTCACCAGACTCTACAATGGGTACTGATTCATCAGCAAATGCTGACGTTATCACTATGCCTACTGGATCACAAATCTCGGAAAGATCCGTGCCACCGGCTCGGAATCTGACCGATCTTGCACCCGTAGGACCAAGAAGATCGATGAGAGCTACAACAAGATCTACATCGCCTATAACGTCTACCGCGAGATCCCCAAGAAGGAGTATAGAGAAGAGACGTGACGATGATAGAGGAACAAAAGAGCAAAGAAGAGAGATTCAGCTGGGTGAAGAATTGAGATCGGCGAGAAACGCATACAATTTTCTTCATGAAGAATATGAATGCATCCAAGCCGGATACTCACGACTACACCACGAGGCTGAAGTGGAGTTCAGGCAAATGTCTGACTACAACAGGAAGATGCAGGAACATCTACAAGAGATGACACAGGAAGATGAAGGAGCGACAATAAGAATTGAAGAGCTCGAACACAAGCTACGCTTGGCGGAATCGACAGCTGAACATATCTACATGAGATATCAAGAGCTTGCACAAGAAACTCATCAAGAACATTCAGAGCTTGAATCTGTGAAAGCAACGAAGGACAGAATGTCCCAAGAGCTTCAAGCAGCAATTGGACACACCCAAGAACAGAATGAATCTTCATTGGCGATCAATAGAAGATCAAAAGCCATTCAGGATGAGAACACAGCCTTCGTCGGAATAGCTGACCAGATACAAGCTAGAATGATTGCGCTACAGGATGAGAATGTCAACATGCACGAGGTGATCCAACACCAGAGAGAAGAACAATGGAACAGTGAGGTCAGGGAAAGACGTCTTCAACACAGTGTTCACTCATCTCAAGATCAGAGCAATCAGGAAGCTATGGTTATTGATCATCTACGAGGTCAACTAGCTATGGCACGTGGAGCTGAACTCAACGCGAGAGCGGAGATAGAAGAGATGGAAGTGGGCATGAGGATGGAGATGTTTGTATGCCAGACTGAAGTCTCTGCTAAAGAAATGGCAGAAATGAAGGCGAGCCACCATGAATACGAAGCAAACGTCGCAAAGGAGGTTATCGCAAAAGGAGAAATATTCAACAACGAAGTCCTAGAAGGTTCCATCCGTGAACGACAACAGTTGAAAGACGCCAACCTCGCTCTATCCGAAGCCAACGCACAGCTGAAAAGAGAGAATATGATGAGAGCTCCTATGTTCGGCGATGATGGTGCTGAAATTCAACAGAAGATCAGAGAACTGGAGAATGCACTATTGGAAAGCCAGAAGGAGACAAAGAATGTCATTATGGAAAATGCGAAATTAAAAGCAGAAGCACGAATGGCACCCATAGTCTCTCGGTACAGCAAGCGTCCTAGTTCCAGAGACCGCGGGTTACCAACCCACGCGTCCGAGGAAGATGAGATTCGGAACGCAAAAGAGGAGGCGAAGCACTACAAGGACGGGTACAATGAAATGACAGAGAGCCGAGATGAGATGTATGAATGGTATGCCGAAACCCACAATGAGTACGCCGAGGAAAGGGAGAAATCAATTGAGCTATCCGAGGCGAACAAATCATTGAGGGACAAGATTTCAGAAGCAGAAGCATCCTCTTCATCTCATCTTTCACCGGCAACCTCTACAATCATGAAAGTATCGAGGAAGGAAGAATCAAAGATAACCGTTCCGTCATGGCCCAGGATCAATGATCTTGGACTATGGAAGGCAAATCTCATTCAATCGATCATCATTGCGGCCAATGATTCAGATCAAGAGCCCTGGATCGACTGGATCAAAGAAGCCATGGACGATCCTGATCCGGACAAGTTTGTCGACTCAGGAGACCAAAGATTCCATTCAATCGATGCCAAACTCGGCCTAGCTCTTACCAAGGTCGTCATGGATGCGAAAGATGATGGTTCAGGTGTAACTATGAAGTTGAGGACGAGGATCAATGCAAAAGGGAGAACATCAAGCCTCATAAAGGGAAGAGAGGTCCTAGCCCTGATCCTTATGAATTTCAAGACAACATCAAATGTGGAAGTCTTATATACTTCAATGCACCTCTACCAACTAGAATATCAAGGAGACAAGAACTTATCGTTGTTCTTCCACACTTGGGATGAGATTCTGGCAGGAATGAAGCCCGTTGACGTCCCGAGCGACGAAACTCTTCGGGATCTCCTATGGAGAAAGATCAGGAACTCAAACCTCATGGCATACGACATCAGCGCCTACAACAGCATGAACGACGATGATGCCAAGAAGACATACAAACATCTACGTGATATGATCAGAAGGCACATCGAACGGCAAACTGAAGACAGGATGATCCTGGAAAAGGAGAAGGCAGTGAAGAATGTGGCCAATATCTTTCAGAATCTCAAACCAGGCGGACCTGCTCCAAAACTGAAAGCTGCACCAGCTGATCCGAAGAAGAAACCAAAAGGGCAACAAGAACAGGTTGTCTCAGAAGACGCTGCTGCAGTGAAGCCGAAACCCAATCCCAAGAAGCATCCTGAAGACAAGAACAAAAAGGGAAAGGGGAAAGGTAAAGGTGATGGAAAGGATCGCAGCCGAAGTCCGAGTACAGACAAGAAGAAGATACCATGCAAATACTTCGTGAAAGGTAACTGCACTATGGGGAAAGATTGCCCATTCAGTCACAAGAAACCCAGATCACCATCCAGAGGATCTTCTGTCGGAAAGAATGACAAGCCAGTATGTTGGATGTGGATTCGAGGAACTTGTGACAAAGGGAAGGATTGCAAGTTCTACCATGACCCAAAAGCCTCTCCTAAGAAAGGGATATCTGCACCAGCTGACTCAGGAGACGATAGGCCAAAGCCCAAGACAAAACCCAAATTGAAGCCTAAGGCGAAGCCTGGAGCCCCAGCCATTGACGGTGAACTCTTCATGGACGAATCCGAAGATGAAGGGATTGCTGCATCCGCCAAGGCAAGAGAAGGAGGTGCAAAAGTATCCTTTGATGAAGAGACTTGTGAGATCATGTTGAACGAAGCGATCTACTCAGTCAGGAACAAATGGAAGGTAGTAGAAAGGAAACCTCTACGTCCAGACATCAAACGATACGATGAGAAAGAGCTCACCTGCTACACGAGGAAAGAACAAATCAGATTTGAAGAGAAGGTCGCAGAGGCAAGAGGCATATTGATGGTCCCCTACACTGAGATCAAGAGGGTCCGAATACCAGTTGGACCAAAGGGTGACCTAGCGGTCACTATGTCTTTTGACGAAGATGACGGCCTAGTTTTCCATCATAAAGTCATTCCTCATGTATGCGAGGGAAAGAAAGATCATGCAGACACAAAGACATTGTCTATTCCAGCCAAAGGGTCAAGAACAAAGTTCATCATGGACACAGGATGTGGGTATGATTTGATATCGAAAGGCAGAGCCAAGAAATTAGGTCTGGAAGTGAGAGAAAGCGACCAATCAATGTCATTCTATACCGCAAATGGAGTGACATCCACAAAGGGAGTCGCCGACATTCATTTCGACGAATTTGACTCTACCTACTCCCCATTCGTCTTAGATGAGTCTCCTTCAGTACTGTCTGTTGGAAAGAAATGCATGGAGGAAGGTTACACATTCATATGGCCAGCCTGCGGCAACCCGTACATGGTTTCCCCGAACTACAAGAAAATCATGTTAGAAGTAGAGGGAAACATCCCATATATTGTCAAGGGCAGTGACTTCTGTAACCCCACCGACGATGTAAGGGCGGAGATGATCGCAAGGTTCACCCTAGGAGAAGGTGAAGCTGATTACCAATCGGCTTTCATCAACTGTGATGTGGATCCTCAAGGCGTCATGTGTGATGATGACGACCTCCCTGTGATTGAGCCTCCAAAAGTCAAAAGACGAAAGAGGAATAAGAAGTTCAAGGCATCTCCTGGAGAAGAAGATGAGGTAGGATCAGATGTCGCCGGAGACAGTGAACCAGAAGCTGACGATGATGATGCAGATGACATCGAGGTGGATATTGTTGACGGTGCAAGCAGAATGGTGAGAAGAGGAACTCTGAAAGCAGATGCCAGGAAAATCGAACATCTACTCACACATCGTTACAAGAATCCCTACTGTGAGTCATGCATCAGAGCAAAGATGAAACACTTCAAGACGCATCGAGGAGCGTTCAAGAGAAAGCTCAAAGCTTTTGGAGATCTGGTTACCTTTGATTTTGTCGATACGAGGAACATCCTTGATCAAGGGATCAGTACTGATCGAGAGATCTTCGTCATTCGTGACA